TCTCACCTCCCCTGCCCTGTAGCGTGGCCGAGCTCCTATCCGGTCCGCGACCCGGCGGACTGACAGGAAGTGCACACTCAGTGTGCACTTCCTGTCAGTCCGGCGGGTCGCGGTCCGGAAAGGAGCTCGGCCACGCTACAGGGCAGGGGAGGTGAGGCACTGTGGCAGCCGCCTGAGCGCTCTTTATAGAGCGCTCAGGCAGCTGCAGAATTTAAAGGGCTGGCGATGGGGGCGCAGGGCGCCACCTCCTATATGGCGCTCCAAGGCGGCTGCCTAGTTCGCCTTATAGGAAGCGCCGGCCCTGCTTGTAACACACCATTGTACCCAATTAAGAAAAAGCAAGAGAAGGGAAAACCTATGGTCTACCGTATGGTACATGATTTGAAGGCAATTAATGCTGTAACTGAAATCATTGCCCCTAATGTTCCCAACCCACACACCTTGTTGTCACAGATACCACCTCCCTCTAAGGTATTTACTGTTATTGACTTGGCAAATGCATTTTTCTCTGTGCCCCTGGATCCCGACAGTCAGTATTTATTTGCATATACACATAAACACAAGCAGTACACTTGGACAGTATTGCCCCAGGGTGCACAAAACTCACCCACTATGTACAGCATGGCCATGGCCCAGATTCTTGAAGAGTGGCCAAGGGCAGATGACATTATTATATTGCAGTATATCGATGACATACTCCTTTGTCGCAAAGATATGGAACCAGGTAAAGTGCAATCCACTTGAATATAACCATAATACCACAAAAATCAAGTTCTGTAGATCAGACGTTTTTAAAATCCTTACTCACCCGGGTAAGCGTAGACCTTCTCCTTTATATATGGTTTTGAGATAAAGTCTAGCTATTCACATAAAATATCAAAGCAAACAGACGTTCTAAAAAACTTAGTTCTTTATTCATTGGGTCTTTTCCTATAGAGAAAATCATTAATCAAGTTGCTGTAAAATTAACTTTGCCTTCCACAATGAAACTCCATCCTGTTTTCCACAAGTCTCTTCTAAAACCCTACATTCCGGATCCTTTTCCAAAAGATAACATCAGCCTCCAGGACCAGTTCTGGTTGATGGAGAAATTGAACATGAAGTCCACAGGGTCTTGGATTCTTGTCTGCATCATGGAAAACTCCAATACTTAATCTGTTTCAAAGGATATGGCCCTGAAGATGACTCTTGGCAAGACAAGGAAGCGATGCATGCTTCTTGTTTAATTGCATCAGTTCATAAAAAATATCCTGAAAAACCTAATTAATAGCACTCAGAGCGTGCTCCTTAAGAGGGAGGTACTGTCAGGATTCCCCTATGTTGTTCAGGATTCCTCCATGTTGTTTCCAGTCCAATCGGCACTACCTGTATGACTTCCGGGTTTTACTGATCTGACTCCGCCCATGCGTCTGATGTCACGCGCTTCCCTTCAAAAGACTGCCAAAGTGAAATTACTTTATTTCGATAAACTATATATTTTTTAAAGTGACAGTATCAGATTTATTTATTCATCTGCGGTTGAGTTCCAAATGATTTTTCCTGAGAGCATCACAATACTACACCCCTCATAAACACACACACACACACACACAGTACCCCTCACACACATGTATTGCGCTCCTCATACACACATTGCTCCCCTCACAAACACACATACACTACACCCCTTACACAAACATTGCACAACTCACACACACACTACTGCCCCTATCCCTTATTAGAATGCCCCTTCCCCAACTACATTCCCATATCCCAGTCGACTCCAGGTAAGTTGTTAAATTGTTGTTAAACAGTTTGAGGACTTACCCTGGCAGAGAGCCACAGCCACTATCCGGGCCGGTGCAAGGATTTTTGCCGCCCTAGGGGGTTTGCCACCCCCTCCCCCATGTGACATCACAATGCCACACCCATATGATCTGCCATATGAACGAACGCCAGTGCTGCACACAGTGTGCATTTACATTAAAAAGCCTGCAAGGACAGGCTATAGACACCAGAACCACTTCATTAAGCTGCAGTGGTTCTGTGGACTATAGTGTCCCTTTAATGTGAGGTAAAAAAAGAGAGATTAGTGTCATTAATAATAGATTAACTACTTACAACCAGATGAGGATGGTGTTGGGCTCTGGCTGCAGTCTGGCTCCACTGGTCTGGTGCAGAACATGACCCGTGTATAGTTGCCCTATGGGCAGTCAGAATCCAGGACAACCCCCCAGATACCTATCCCAATAACTAGGGTATATGGGTCAAATTTTCCACAGCTTTTATTAAACAATTCCAATATATTAACAATTATAATAATAATCATAACAATAACAACTTAACATATTAACATGGGTCATTGCCCCCCATACTCCGCCCTCGCACCCGTATGCTTCTGTTAATATGAAAGGCAATGACCCCAATATAAATAACATATATGTGTGTATATATATATATATGTATTAAGGCAGTTTTGCCTGTATTTGTGGGAGGGGCTTAAATTAATTCACTCCCCTATATAAGGGACACTCCTTACCTGACTCATATCGCTTGGGGTCAGCATCAGAATGATTTCCACTTCCGGGTCATCCAGACGCCATTTTACCTGATTACTCCATGAGGTTTTCTAAGCAGAGCTGTGTCAGGAATCCAGCCACAGGCTTTTCCGGCCTACCACCTTCTTTCTTCAATCCATCGCCATGGATGTTGTCCAAGTGACTCACAAACAGTAAGTCGACCTACCCGTTACGCCAGGCATCAGTCCCACGGCACCATGCACGGGTCAGGTCCTCACTTTACGGCTGCATTTTGTCTATGTCTGTTCTAAAACCATTGCATGTTCATGCATATCATTCGTTTAAACCCCTACCGGTCTTTGGGTGTACTACAGGCTTCTTAGACATTATTGCATTTCATGTACAAACCAACGAACCACTGCATTTTCGCCTACACACTGACCCCTACCGGTCATTCGGTGTACTACCGGCTTCTCAGACATTATTGCATTTCATGTAAAAACCAACCAAACACCGCATTTTCACCTACACACTGACCCCTATCGGTCATTCGGTGTACTACAGGCATCTTAGACGTTTTTTGCATTTTCATGTACAAACCAACAAACCACCTCATTTTCACCTACACACTGACCCCTACCGGTTTTTGGTGTACTACAGGCTTCTTAGACATTATCGCATTTCATGTACAAATAAATGAATCACTGCATTTGCACCTACACACTGACCCCTACTGGTCATTTGGTGTACTACAGGCTTCTCAGACATTATTGCATTTCATGTACAAATCAACGAATCACTGCATTTGCGCCTACACACTGACCCCTACTGGTCATTTAGTGTACTACAGGCTTCTTAGATATTATCGCATTTCATGTACAAATCAACGAACCACTGCATTTGCGCCTACACACTGACCCCTACCGGTCATTCGGTGTACTACGGGCTTCTCAGACATTATTGCATTTCATGTATAAACCAACAAACCACTGCAATTTTCACCTACACACTGACCCCTATCAGTCATTCGGTGTACTACAGGCTTCTTAGACGTTTTTGCTTTTCATGTACAAAACCATAAACCACTGCATTTTCACCTACACACTGACCCCTATCAGTCATTCAGTGTACTACAGGCTTCTCAGACATCATTGCATTTCATGTACAAACCAACTAACCACGGCATTTTCGCCTACATACTGACCCCTACCGGTCAATCAGTATACTACAGGCTTCTCAGATTTTATTCCACTTCATAAGCAAACAAACGAACTACAGCATTTTCGCTTTTATACTGACTCCTATCTGTCAAATGGACACATGACATTAACCCCTTAAGGACACATGACATGTGTGACGTGTAATGATCCCCTTTTATTCCAGAAGTTTGGTCCTTAAGAGGTTAAAGGGTATTTTAACATACAATCAGCATTTCTGACCCCTACTGGTCAACAGCAAAACTGTCTTCACATGTCATATGCAATTTACCAGCCAATATAAATTACACATAAGATTGTTTTAAACATAACTATAGACCATAAATTAAACTCCAGCACGGGCTCACCTTCAGGTTTAATTCACAATAATTTACATTTCACATCAAGACCAACAGTGGTTCTATCAACACTGCCACCTACAGGTCTGTCAAGTACATTGACAATTTTCATGGGGTTTTACAAAGACCAAAACACTGACACCTATAGGTCAACAGACAAACAACATTTCAAATACCAATCAGTATCCAACTACACTGCCACCTATAGGGCACTCGGCAGATCTCCAGTGCACTTGCATTTTGAAACACCATGTTCACTGACCCCTACCATTCAATAAGACATACAACAATTCACATAGCAAGCACTATGTCAACATCTGGTATAAATACATATATTATTACACAGTAGCAGACGCATCTGTATATATGTAACTGGTAATATAGTTCACATAAATTTTTCACAGCACGCTGCTCCCGCAACAGACTTACAACATACAACATACAACATACAACATACAAGGTGGGGACAGACCACATTTTCACTTGTACATACGGCACTTAATGGGTTAAGATTGATACATATTTAACCAGTATGGCTACGATGTTTAATATTTACACATTACGTCACTTTACTTTTCACATATACTGTACGTATTAAGATAAGCTTGGTCTATGCCATATTTCCTTATGCCATACGGTTTTATCTATTCAGGTTACAGTTACTACTAAAAAACCTATACGG